GCTTATCCTACAGTGCTATAGCATGTAGCCGCTAATTAATGAAGTTGTGACCACAATGCCTGTTTGCCTGGTTGTTATAGAAAATCATATGTGTAAATCTTTCATATCAAAAGATTTGTTCATTCAAGATTAGAAACTATGTTTATCATAGGATGTTGACAGGTGAAATTTAATTGATTGTCAATGACTTTACTCACTTTGTTTTAATTAACGTCATTAGTATGTATACTCTATGCAAATCCCCTTGCTAGTATAAGAAAAATGATCAGACTTCAGGTCTAAATATTCTTCTTTACTCATAGTTGAAATAAGATAAAATAGTGCTGATAGCAGATTCATCTAAAACACAAAGTGAAATGACATCACTTCATTGTATGGTACTATTTTTGTAAAGTTAAGCATTCCATGAAGTGCCTGGGGAATTATGTGCCAAATCCTTAACTGTGGTTAACTTGTACATGGAAGAGTTATATTGTTTGCTGTCTTTATTCATTCTTTCGTTGCTTGTTTGCTGATGTATATTTTTTAATTTTCCACATTGAATATTTTATATTTTTTGTTTTAAAGATTTTACAGTGAAACAGTGAAATGTTTATTTACCTTTCAATGCTTCCACTTTTCCAGACCTTCCTTTATATTCTTTTTTAAGATTTCTGATTCTGAAAGAAAAAAGTCACAGTACTTAACCAACAAAAAAGTGAAAATAGAACAGATTAGAAACAGCCTTTGGACTGAAAGATGCTGTCAATGACTTTATATGAAGCTGTCAATGACTTTATATGAAACACAACTGCTGTAGCCAGGGCACCTTGGCCTCAAAATCTGGTATCACCAGCTGCTTTGGATTGAATTCTGTCTCCCAAAGAATATGTATATTGTAAACTGTACCGTCTATGCCTGTGGTTGGAGTCCTGGTGTGAGGCTCTATAGGATAAGCACTGGACCACTGACCACAATTTTGAAGTTCAAACCCATCAACTGCTCCTCAGAAATGCTATAAAGGGTTGTTATGAGTCTGAACCAACTTGAAGACACTTAACAGCAACAGTATACCTGTGGTTGTAACTCCATTTGGGAATGGAATTATAAAGCAGGAAGGACCTCCCCCAGAACCAACAGAGAGAAAAAACCTTCCCCTGGAATCAGAGCCCTGAATTCTGACTTGTAGTCTCCTAAAGTGTCAGAAAATTTGCATCTGTTTGTTAAAGTCACACATGTGTGGTCTTTCTGTTATACTAGCACTAGGCACCAAAGACACCAGCTTAGTCAAAACAAAAAATGAAGTCTTATTTTTTGATGAATCACCTCCCTTGGGATTAAAAAGAAAAGACAACCTCAGAAAGTGAAATAAAATATAGCAAACACAAAAAATGTGTTTGTTGAAAGAAGGACTAAAATATGGAGTTTACCATCAAGGTCTGAGTGACCTAGGAGGACACAGTGCGTCCCGGAACCATGTGGACTTCACAGTTTATCACCGGCTGAGGCGGGAACCAGGACCAGGATATCATACTAGAGATATCATAACTATTCAGATTGTATGTGATTCCTCTTCAACTTTCAAACAAAACACTGTGCACTCCCCCTTCTTTCAGAGCCTGAATCACATGTCGAGCAAAGATACTTATTCATGAAGGGGATGGTAGAGGAGGCGATAGTCTTCCTGGTGTGGTAGCACATGCAGTGAAGGCGGGCTGTGAATATAGCATTGTAATGAAGAAAGTTCCATTTGGGAGCATTTAGATGATTGTTTTCAGATTTTAGAGATGAAGATATCCACTTCCTTCTGGGAGTCTTGCCTGGGTTCTGGGAGTATTTCCTGAATGATATCCAGTTACAAGAACGTATGGATATGAAACAAATGCCCCCAGAGTAGGTGAATGAAGGAAGGGTCACTAATAAGAAAGACTCTGTTAGAAACAGAAACTAGATATTTGTACAGAGCCAGATTCTCGGTTCTGGTTAGAATTTAGGAACCTTCCCTCCACAGCCTCTGATACAGACAGCAGAGGTTGCTAGGGAAGTAGATGTCGGTTTGTATGCAGAGCACAGAGATCTCCTGGGGGGAAAGGAATCAATATTCTAAAGTCTAGTTGTCATTGAGTCACTTCCAACTCATGGCAACCCCTTCTGTGTCAGGAGAGAGTTGTACTAGTTTTTCAAAAGTGGTTCACCAGGACTTTGATCTGAGGTGCACTTCCATGAGTAACTGTGGTCGTTAACTGCATTACCCAGAGAGACTCCATCCATACCCTAGTACCTTCTATGTCCATATTAAATCAACTACAAATGTTGGGGTTGATGGGAATAGCTTTGACCATCATCCAGTGATAGAGAAGGGCAATTATGTTCCTTAAATAAGATCGCCTTGAAGAAATAGAGATAGGATTTGTGGGTTGAAACCTATGTCAAATGTTGGGTGGTCAAAGGGCAGTTGTAGGCTGCCTTACAAACCCAGAACCTAGGTGTAGAACACTTTGTCACCAAAGTGTTGAAAGCTTGTGCATCTAAGCCTACTTCTCTATTTTGGTATGGAACTGGGTGAAGGCTCTTTAGTGAATAGGTCTTGCATCAGATAACGTTTCCCTGACTCTTCAGAGACAAAAAGCCTCTAGTTTAACGAACTTTCCAGACAGAGACAAGGATGCCCAGAGCCAACATTGTACAGATTGGCCTGGGATTGGCAGGAAGACATCTCACTTTCTCTCTTTAGCCACTAAGCGACAGCAGAACAAGAGAAGTACTGTTTTGGGCTTGTTTTGTATTTTTATCTTTATGACTAACCATAAGATTTTCTTAGATTGGATCTGAAGATTACTATAATTTGAATAATAAGATAATTTTATCTTTGGGCCCACAACTGGGAAAGATGGTTGAGAACATTGGAATTGAATTTGGGTAGATTACTCCTCATTTTCATAGGGACTTTATAGGACAGAATGGAACTGCCCCATAGGTTTCCAAGGTTGTTTTCTTCAAAGAAGTAGGATATCTTTCTTCTATGGAGGGACTGGTGGATTTGAACCACCAACCTTTCAGTTAGCAGCTAAGCTTAACCACTGTCCTATAGGGTTGCCATGAGTAGAAATTGAGTCAAAGGTAGAAGGGATTTTGTTTTGTTTTGTTTTTATATTCCTCATGTGGCCTTTCTCTTTTGAATACATGTTTTCCATGGAGCTGGTATCTTCCATGATGAGATTGGAAATGGTGTTGTCCTGCTGTCCTCTCAGGAAGTTTAGCAGAAAATGGTGAGAATGAGAAGGATAATACTTAGTTTAGTAGCTATGTTGTTTGTTTCACTACCTAGATGTGAGACCTTATTTAGCACCTTCTTTTGTTTCTGACATCTCAACAGCAGCCAATGCCTAAGAACATACTCTGGACCCAGGCCATCTGGATTCTCATCCCAACATCCATTTACTAGCTATGTAACCTTAGGGAAGTTACTTAACACTTCAGCACTTCACTTTTCTGGTCTGTATTAAAATGGGGAAAAATAAAAGTACCACCTCATTAATTTTTTGTGTATGTGACAATTAAATGTGTATGTAGTACATGGTGGTGGTGGTGGTGATGGTTATGTGTCATGGAATTGGTTCTATTGCATAGCGACACTATATAGGGTTTCCCTGGCTGTAAATCTTTACTGGAGGAGAAATCCTCATTATTTTCCCATGGAGTGACTTATAGATTTGAACTTCTAACCTTTTGGTTAACAACCCAACTTGTAACCTACTACATTATCAGAATTTCTTATCTGGTACATAGTAAACACTGAGTAAGTATCTGTTAAAAAAGTAAATGGTTAATGTTTAAAACTCTGATGCTTTAGTTTTGGTGTATATTAGAAAAATCTACAGAGCTCTTGTAGAATGGCCAGACGTCGTCTTTTATACTTTGAACGTATTGTCAGGAGGGACCAGTTCCTGGAGAAGGATATCATGTTTGGTAAAGTGGGAGGTAAGAGAAAAAGAGGAAGACCCCCAGTGAGATGGATTGGCACAGCGGCAGCATCAAAGGGCTCAAATGTAGCAAAGATTGTGAGATAGGCCCAGGATCGGGCAGTGTTTTGTTCTGTTGTGAAGAGGGTCACTATGAGTCGGTACTGACTTGATGGCACCGAACAACAACAACACCGTGCTCTTCAAAATCCACAGACTCTTGGGTTCAGTCCCACACTAACTGAATTAGAATCCCTATGTTCTGAGAACACAGATATTTTAAGAGTTCCTTATGTGATTCTGTTACATATCAAATCCCATAACAATCTTTCAAAGTAGATGTATGGCATTTGGTAAATCTGCTAGAAAGCATCTCTTTAAAAGGTTAAAGAGCAAAAGAGTCATTTGAGGATCAAGGTACACCTGATTCAAGACTTG